TAAAAACAGTTTATGAACGCATTCTGTTCACATCCTTGTTATCGACGTATATTTTGCATACATTCGGATCACGCATGGTTCGTTTTGCACTTCGCTCACTCGCCCACTACATTCGATATGCAACGATTAATGGTGATCTTCGTAACGAAGATCCCGCGCTCGATCGGGGTTTCCGAGTTTCCCCATTAAAAATAAGAACAAGAATAACTTAGATTTCCGTTGTTACATATTATACAAGCTATGCATAAAAGAAGATAAAACAACAACGCAAAACATTCAATTAACATGGACGCAAAAAGAAACAAAAGCTCGATCCGTCTTTTGTTTTCTTTTTCCTACACATTTCTATCGATCTTTTTCGATCTTCGAATCGCCTGACATTTTCGCATTGTGTGCGCACTTTGATTGTATGCAGTGTTTTCTTTTTGATCGTGCGTAACTCTCGTCGTGATAAGTACACACTGTACACCTTCATTCTCCCGCTTTCGCTCTCGCGCTCTAGTCAGTCATGCTCTCGCAATTTAATATTATTTTATTCGGCTCGAATATACACTTCCTGAGGAACGATGAGAGCTGCCTTAGTCTAATTTAAGAAATCGAGCTAATTATAGTTAATCAGAAATTTCGCTTCTGATTCGGATGCGAGCTTTTCTTTGAAGGTGCTCCGAAGAGCACTACAACGTAATTTGCGAAGTCGCTTCGTTATGATTCGTTAACTCCTTAATAAACGAAATAATTAAATAATACTGGTGAGCTGCTCGTAGTTTATCGCAGGAAAGTCAAAGATCGTGTCGGAGAAAGAAATAACTTTCCCTTGCTTCAAATTAAATCAGTATAGAATTATTCGATTATTTCGCACTTTCCCAACTAATTTAGCTTGTTTGCTGAAATCTTTTGTAATTTGTGAAGTCCGAAGGACGCAAGAAAATAATCAACGATAAATTGATGAATCACTTTAATTGTGCTGATGAAAGTGAGGAAACGCGGTGCACATTCAACTTACTCAAGAAATCACGATAATAAAAATAAAGAATTGAAAAGGATATTTCGATTATTCGAACTATTATTGCTGGTGCTATACTGTATCATCTAGAATCTAGAATAATTTAAGATCGAGAGCACGACTTTCGGGAGCGTCAGATTGGCATAACATTAACAGTAGCGTTGCGCGATCAACCAATTCCCCGAGTATAATGCAAACTCGTGCATATCGATTTTTCCGTATAAAAACACAAATTGTTGTTGCGCCGCATGATTTTCAATTTGCACGAGTTATCGTTAAACAGCATATTTCGATACTCGTAGGGCCGATTTTAACGTGGAAACATTTTAATATAGAAAATCTAAAATTGCCAATAACGCCTTCACTTTATACAAAATTTTTTAACAGCCAGAGGATTCAAATATTCATTCTCCTAAATTAATAGCAATGAAAGTATTGGAGAGTTCAAGCTATCGTAAATGTGTTTTAACGAATCGAGTGACCTGGTGTAACAATAATTGCTCCAGTCGCAACATTCTCGTTGGCTCGTATTAAAAAATAATTTATTTAACAATTTAATGATAAGAAGTTAGGCTGGTATTCATATTTTTATATTTAAAATCGTCCTTATATTTAAAATCGTATTAAAAGTACAGTCTTAAGATGTTATAAGCTAATCACAAAATCATATTAGCACCTTAAGCTGAGTTTACATTTTCAATCGTCATTTCAGGAGTTTTAATGTTTGCGACAATCTTGAATCGGCCCCATTGCTGTCGATCGTGCAAACTACCGTAATCTCGCCGGCTCGTACATATAAAATTATATTTACAACAGAGCGATTATTTCTTTGTGTGTTGAGGTATTCGCGTCTAGGCGCGTCTAAAAAGAGAGCGTGCACTATTTCGAGAAGCGAGAGGGAGGCTTCAGAAAATTCTAAGGGCCTCCTTTAAACACCTATTTCCTGCGATTCGTCCCTCTCGCTCCGAAAAGGAAAGATACAATGAATTCTCCTTTTCCTATCTTCATCGCCATGGTTGCGACGTGCGCCTGCCATTACAAATAATTTAAAAATTATATTCGTATTTATAATCTCTTCTCTCGCGCCTCTCTCCCTCTATACATAGCTTTTTTTATATATATATTAAATTTCAATCTTTTTTTCTCGTTCTTGTACGCGCACGGGAAAAGATTTCGGTAACGTTATGGTACAGCTATGCTACACACGGGTGGATTATTTCCTCCCGGTTCTCTATGTACACTGCTCGTCGATTACCGTTTACTTTCTTACATGCGGTATGTATATAAGGGATAGCGGTATTTTTACGGTGTACTAACGCACCTGTACATCCTAGCACGAACACTTTCCCTCTCACTCTCTCGCGTCCTGCTCTCGCTTTGGTCTATTTCGCAGTGTACCAAAGCTTGAACTGTCTTGCACCTCCGGTGGTGTCACTTCGTTCCGACGTAAAAAAAAAGAAATCAATATTTCTACATCACAATATTTTTCAATTTGTCTAACATGTATGTTTTGTGACTAGATTTACTGCAATTCTTAAAAGGCGTTTCGTTCTTTGAGTAAAATTAGAACGATTATTGACATAATCCAAAATGATTTTGCATTCATCAATAATTTAACGGGACGAAGTAACATCCTGAGGAATAAATCAACGTTGGTTTGTCATAATCTGCGAACTCGCGAGTCGTCCACGTGCGACTACCGATCAAGGATTGTTTGTAAAGGCGCTCGATATAATAACGGACCCGATCGCGATAATGTACTTAATAATGCACGTGGGTAATTTGGGCCATTCGCGGAGTCGCCTCGTTGAGTCTTTGTCCACAATAAAGCTAGCATACGAAATGGCGATTTGGAATGGAGCAGGAGTTACGAGCATGCCGCAATTGCGATTCATGAATTTTCTAATACGCGGTCACTGTTACATTATTGATAACAGCGAGACTTCATTAGTGCGATTATGGTGCCTTGTCTTCTATTTTCGAAGTACACCATTCGATCTAGAAAGCGCTATTGCCGGATTAGGAAAGAAGATTTTTGCAATCATCAGGAATTTTTGATTTCAAAAGGAACGATATGAGAAATATCACGAACGAAAATTCGCGGTTTCATTGAAAAGCTTTTTCAGAGCAAGAAAAGGTAGATTCTCTCCTCGGAAATAAAATTTCTCGTACTCCCTTCTTCTTATCGAGCGACTTTTATAGTTCTACATTTCCGCGATGGGATTACAAAAATAAAAGGCTCGCACGCGCACCCAAAAATTTCCAGTCGTGGAAGCGCGAATGTATATGTACATACATTTAGCGGCAGTGTAGCGATGATATTAGTGATACGTGTGGCATCTACGATCCCCGAAATCGTACTGTGCATATGATGGAACCTAATTAAAACAACCTGCTTTATTTCATATGTATATCTCGCGTCATTTTATTATCTGTGTAGAAGTAAAAAAACAGTAGAAAGAGAATTCATACTTGAAAATAAAATTGAATTTTTATTTTATTTTACTTGGCTAATAATACTCTGCTTCGATAGTTGCAAAATGTTTTATTATATCGAAATCGTGCAACATTTTTTGCAAATTTAAAAAGCTTAGGAATGTATTTATTGTAATCTGAAATATTGCTTAGTTTATATTATATAACAGTTCATCACATAAACAATATATTGTCTAAATAAGTTGTTTCTATCTGTTTTAAATAATTTCATAATTTTTTGAATGATAAAGAACAGCATAATGCTTTTGTCATAATTTAACTGGCGATTAAATTTCAACATATATTATTCTGTTTTTCCGTTTACAAATGATTTGAGAATTCAGCGTTAATTTACTGTGCATTTATTATTACAAGACTATTATTATCTCAAGACTATCAGCGTGCATGAGTGTCGCATTGACGAGACTCTCTAAAGCGTCGTTGGTACGAAAAGTGATTATTATCGGACTAGATAACCGCGTGATACTATCTAATGTTCCCTACCATATATGTGCGATCGAATCCGTTTCTCCGAGGGCGAGACAAAAATTACACTTCATATCAAAGTTTGTACGAAACTTGCTGGTCGGCTGCACATGTCCGACCGTTTAGGATAGGATTGGCAGTGGATCGGTGGTTAATCTGAAGGGAAAAAACACCCGTAATCGAGACCCGTTTATTTCGTAATTTACGCCATTTATTTTAAATAACCTCGTTATTTGGTCTAAAAATGTCGCATTCTTGATGTCTTAGATTCCGGATTTAGCGATTCTCGATATCAGTTTTAAGACTATCAAATTTCATCTTATAATAGGCAGATTTGTAAATTTTTGTTTCGACTTTGCGGGTTTCGACTTTGAACATTTCACACGTTTGTCAGTCTATAAAACTGCGAATTGCTTGAAAGAACGATGGAACTGATCGCGCCTAGATGATTTTAACACTGTTTCTTCGTAACTTCTCGCGATTGGTAGTCGCACGATTTGCAGGTGACGATATCACGACGAGAACGAAGTCCGCTCGTTCCGCGGTTAACGCTCTTTCTCTACGTATATAAATTACAAAGGATTGGACTAAAAAGGTAAAAGTAATCGTTAGCGTCCTTTGGTACCAGCCTGAGTCTCATTGGATTATAAATAAATTTGTTAGATAGTCTTGCGTGTCAACTACATGTATAAATCACTAAGAGATCACTATGTTTCTCTAGTCAAGTCCGAATTGTCACTTGCTCGCGGGTTTCCTCGTCGCTTCGACGATCAAACCGCTTAACATAATCGTCGCAACTTGATACACCGAAGCGATAAGAATACCTTTATTGACTCTTAACTGTGGACGTCGAAGTATCAAAATACAGCAGTTCAGCACAGCCGAATCGGCGTCAGCCGCTTTCTCCGTTAATGAACGTGCATGATAGATGTCATCATTTTATCGCGACAATAATATGACGGAAACGAGGTCTCATCCTGTCTTTCTGTTTCTCTCTCTCTTCTTAGCGAGAGCACATTTTTAAGAGAACCCTCAGAGACGTCGCGATCGGTCCTCCATTAGGACACGATATAGTCCGCAGAATGATGCGAGTGATGGGAATTTCGTTGCTTATCCCTGCGATGGTTCGTCCGGGAATTGCTGCCGCGAGTGCCACTGGTGCCAGTGGTACCAGTGGTACCAGACGTGTGATGACTGTAACCGCTGTCGCTACCGAAACTGCTGTCAGGTTGGCCCTGATACAATCGACCAGCATTGGTTACTTGATCGCATGCCGAGTCCCGGGTTGAGTTCGTGTAATACACTGGCTGGGTGTACTTATCGTCGCCGAACAGCCGATCGGTTGGCTGCGAGTACGTGTCTGAGTACTCGCCGCCCACCTGGGTGTAGAGCGGCGTCGTGACATCGGACTGGCCCTGTAGACCATAATAGTCGCCGCTGTATTGTTGCTGCGACGACAGGTACTTGTACTTGTCGTTGCCGGATTTTCCGTTGCGCGAACGCTCCTTGTTGCTCCTGTTCTGGCTGGAGTAACGATGCAGGGGGCCCAGCACCGGCACGCTCTCGTAGGGATTCTCCTCCAGCCGCGGAGCCTGTGCAGCCGGTAAGGGTGGCACGAAGTAAGGTAACCTGTGCGCCACCGACGGGACGGACTGCTGACGCTGGGTGCTGCCGTTGCCCGTTCGCGTACCGGCCACGCCTGAAATCGGAGACTCGAATCAATAGGAATTCGGAGATGCACTTACATATCTAGAATGCTATAACAAAGTTGAAAAGTTAACGTAGAGTTGGGAAATCGAGATAGGAAATCAAAATAGGAAATCAAAATAGGAAATTGAGATAGGAATTGAAGATAGAAAAACGCATACTCCCTCCGTTTTCGCCAACCTTCGGTTGGCAGCAGTCGATCGTAAAAATGAGAATAAAGACGAGAGATTACTTCGATATAAAAGAGTGCATTACATTCGAAAAGTTTTGATTCAAGTTTATCAAGTTTGACTCAATTTCATTAATAAATAAGTAAAGAGAAGAAGAATCTATACATAGATATATTGCGACAGGTTTCAAGGAATCTAGAACCTAGAAACGTTATATTGCTCGATTGTGTAAAGGAGCTACGCACTCTAGGTAAACATTAAAATAGCAAACAGTTCTTCGAAGAGCAGGTAGAAAAACGTTGCCGGAGAGTCCAAGAAATAAGGAAAAAGAGCAGCACCAACGAGTCAAGAGGCCGATGTGTCGCCGGCCAATAACGTAAGAACAGTAAACAATTACGGAGCGGATAAGCAAACATCATTGTTAGTTTAGAGATATTGGTTTAGCGCGCACTACAACTACGAAAAACCTTTCGAGCAGAATTAATTTCTTTGGGAAATATCTTCATAGTCTATCTTTCTCTATCATCCTTTTTATATACGTTTACACAACTATCTTTTCATTTTTCTCAAAATATCGTTATTAGAGATCTTATAACAGTTTAACGGAAATGCGCCAAAAGTCACGTAATCGTCATATTTGGCTGATTGGCTGGGATGAAAAATCGTATTTTATCCTTGTTATGTCTAATGAATGACAAAGATAGAATGACGCAATAGCGTTGACTACAAATCCAAGAGTGTAAAAAGTAATTTCAATATATGTGTATAAATAGTTTCCCGTATAAAAATAACATACTATATATAAATATGGATTTATACATTTAAACGTCTATAGTATCTATTATTTTTACACGGAAAAGTAAATTACACACGTATATTGATTTTTTACACACTTGAATTGGCAGTGTATTATATTATACTATTTTTATCATAAAACTAAAGATATAAAATAAGTAAAATAAAATTTTCACCCCAAGCTAATCAGCAAATATCATGATCACGGGATTCTTGACTCATCTCCATATCTATTATATCATATGGGTGCGTTCGAAAAGACGCTATTAGCGCTATTTATTGTTTTTTTATCCTTGTTTTACGTCTAATAAACGATGAAGCTAGAATAACACGAATAGCGCTAATAACACCTCCCCGAACGCACTCTATAGAGTCTCTTATAATTCAATAGACTTACCTGCGACGCTAGGATAGAGTTGAAGCAACGCGTCCAGCAGCATGCCCTCGTGGAATTCGCCCATGTCGTGGTTCTTGTCTCGTCTGCGTCGATCGAGGCTCCTGGGGCTGCGGCCGCGTCGTTCGCGCGGTGGTCTGACACCGGCCGGGCACGTACCCCAGGTGGGGCCGCTGCTCGAAGTGAGCATCCTCGCTTCCGATGGCTCACCCATCGACAGCTCGTCCTCGGCGAATTCATCCTCGCTCGCTGGTTTGGACGCGCTGGACGTACGGTGATGGTGACGGTGATGATGGTGATGATGATGTAGACGATTGCGAGCATTCAACTCGCTCTCCTCGTCCGTCTCCGGATGGTCCCCTGCGGGATCGAAATTCGTTTAAGGGCTTAACATAACGGTATGATGATGATTACGAGGATAAGAACAGGATTTCACTCTTAGCGAGACGGGATGTTGATTAATCGCGAATAAAGTCTGTCTGAGATAATCAGAGAAGGTTAATTGGACGCAAGAAAACGAGAGTATTCCTTGGCAAACGCGCGGTGGAAATTAATCAAATGGATAATTAGCTTCTGGGAAGGTAAATTATTTAGAAAGATATGTTTAAGAGAAGGTTGCGAGATATAAATTTGTATTTATAGTCGCACTTCTGTTGAGAAACTCAGGTGAAATGAGTTTGAGATTAATTCATGATATGGATTAATGTGAGGAATTCTGATGTAGTTGTGATCTTCGTGTAAATTTTGTTTCTCTCTCGCGATTTAATAATTGTTTCCTGTAAAGATTGTATTATGGTCTTAATAGTTTTTAAATCATATGTCATTTGATTAATAATATCGTCACAACACTCCGAGTTGTAATTACGTTCATCGATCCTGTATGTTATTGATTTTTGCAGCTCAAATAATTTATACTCAACTTTCTTGTGCACCTATAAATATTACACGTACGCTGCACTAACTATTTTGATATTATTAGGTCCCAATATAAATTTTAACTGTTATACACAATTTTTATATTTAATCTTTTTTAAAATAAAAATATTAATAGTTGATTAACTTCAAAACACTGTCAATATTGATCAGTGATATAATATTGCTATCGATACGGAAATTTACAAGAAAATAAGACTACTCTTAATTAATGTACACAAGTTTTTCATACTTTTAAAGATAAAATATTTAAATACTATCAACCTTGAAATTATATAGAGTATGTAATCCAATTATTATATATATATGTATGTGTTCGTGTCTCTTCATAATATTTAAATAAAATATGTAATAACACAAAACTGCTTAAAATTCTAATCACTTATACGCTTTGTTATAACACTGATCACTTGGGACGTCAAATTGACATATAAATTTTGAAAAGCTTATCTCCACAATAATCATAATGAAAGTATAGCGCTTAATAACCTCGCTTACTTGTACATAAAATTTATTTATCAACGGCGTTCTAAAATTAAAATTACTTCACTCTTAAAAGAATTATTAAATTTTATTTTTTATTAAAACTTATCTTTATCTTAATAATATTCATAATTTGAATTTTTTGTTTTGTAAGAAGCATAATTATCCAATAAAGAGTATTTCGTAAAGTTTCATGCGGGCAACAATCGCAATTCCATTCCACACTATATATCAACGAAGAAAATGGATTTGTCTCTTTGATTACGGAGCGAAGGATTTTATTTGATTTACGGACAATCTAGACAATGAAGTTTCAGGACAAAATTGATTTAGGATAAGAAACGCATTGTAACAATTAAAGATTTCACCGTTGAATGTAAATAGAGTAACCCACGATCTATTTAGCTGATACTTTAAATTTAGCTTTGCATTGAAATTTCGCTTCGTCGATTCGGCAACACGAAACTCGCTTCGCTTCTCTATTAATTGCCTCGCGTTATTCCAACGAAATGTCGTGGTTGAGCCGCGATCAATACTAACGACGCAACGGGGCGTGTATACGCACGTTAAAAAAAGGAGACGTCGTATAAATAATCGCAGCGTAAAACGGATATTTCGAAACGGAACCGGAATACGCTGCGGGATGCCGCGCACGGCGGTGGCGGCTGAAATCGGTCGCCGCGAGAAATTGAACGAGCTCGTCCAATTAATTTTTATCTCACGACAGGAGCGGAAGAGACGCGATCGGAGGGCTCGATCGAAAACGAGGCGGGATAGACGGGATGTACCGCGCCGAATTATTCTTCAACAGATTGAAGGTGTTATCGGACAGGCTTTCAACATTAAGTCCGCACTTCGTTGGCCATTAAACCACTTGAGATATTCTACGTCGTCTCGGACGAGTGTCCTCTCGAAATATCCTCCATTGCTTCCAACGAGGATAGGAGGAAAACTTGTTAATCGTTCGACGTCGATCGAGACGTATCTCGAATTTTCTGCAATTTCCGTCATCTCCGATTTCTCGATTGCAAAAATAGCACGATATGTGCTAATCAATAATAACAGCTCGAGCTGTTGTGTGACTAAATAAATCTAATCTTTATATACAATAATTTATATAGTTTTAAAATGTAAGTTTTAAAATATGTGTTTATATCAATTTGATATAAAGTGTGTAATAAAATAATATTTTTATACTATATATATTATATAAAATAATTAGGGTAACTCCGGTATATACGCCGCACCCCTATCAAAAATTTAGTTTATTAAGTATTATTTACTATGTTTAAAATAAACGAACTATTATATCAGTAAAAACTTTGTACTGTCTACTACTATGAAAAAAATATTAGAAATCCGAAATATTTAGTTTTCGTATTAAAAAATAAACTTTTTGAAATATCTTGCATTTTTGCTATATATAGATAATGGTAGGATATATGGCAAAAATGCAAGGGTTTCAACAAACTAAACAAAGAACACGAAAGCAAAGCACTTGTATTTTGCTATACAACATGCTTTACTATTCCTCTACACATATGTATCACGAAATAACCATTAGGTCTTTTACACGCCTTACAGTAATCATTTTATGTAGATCATAATTTATGCTACTTGTTACACACACAGTGACAAATCGATTCAACTCACAATAATTTCATTAATATTAACAGTAAGAAGCTGAAATTATAACTCAATACTAATATAATATAAAGGCATGTAACAGAGTAGTTGTGAGAAAATTACCTCCACTCCTTCTATTTTTTCTAACCTCCGCGGCGTAAATCCCACCGCGGCGTATATATCGGAGTTACCCTATAGATTATCGGGGAATAAGTTAGAGGTTGAACGTTTTGGAAGATGTGAAAGAATATATATTTCGAAATTATTTCGACAATTATTAAAAGAATTTTTCGCAACTGGAAATTATTCTGTCGAGAAGAAGCAATTCGTTTTGGCAGGGTTCAATTTGATCAGTTCCATGAATTTTGTAACGCGCGAGTTATCCTCCTCGTCGACGTGATCACCGAGTAGATCCGTTAAATTCTCTGGCGTTTTTACAAGCCCGTAAGGGACAGGACCACCCTCTTCGAGATCGACGTTCTCTCTCGTTTCGAAACTGGAGAACGATGATGCGTACATAGCGTATATATGCGCGGGCCGAGCCCGTGGTTACGACTAATGCACGCGGTGCAGCATGTATATTCGATTACCAGGTCCTCGTCAAACGTCGAAAGCCTCATCACCATACTAATTAGCCGTCCAACTAATGGGAAGTATAAGTCAGAGGTCGTGTCATGCTTATCTCCCTTCGGTAAAATACACGACGGCGGAGAAGAGCGGAGGGAAAGAGAGGAAGAGAGGAAGAGACAAAAGAAAAAGAAAGGGAAGAGAAACGATTTCAAAGAAATTATGAGAGAAAAACAGACAAGAAGATGTAACGTAAAACTGCGTTTATCAGATTTTCGTTTGTTGAACAAATTCATACTTTGATTACTTCTTTATGAGAAAGATATATTAGTATCGTGAACTGTACATTTTGTTGATCTTTACTTTTTTTAATTCGTTGATTCTTAAGTATATACGTATATTTTTAGATGTTTAGACACCTGCTCCTGTAAATTCTTAATAAATATTGAGTCAGGATTTTAAAAGTATAAAAATTACTTAGAATTCATATAGATTTGATCTTGCAGAGCACAGATTTCATATTTTGTGAATTTTGTGCTTTCATTCAGATCACAAAGATCTTCATCAACTTTCTCGATAATTTAAAAATTTATGTGCTCTTGTGCTCATATATATTTCCATTCTATTTCTCATTTTTCACTCTAGAGATTTATTCTTTTTCAATTTTATAGATTTCTATTCACGTAAATCCCATCTTTCTTTTTCGCACATTTTCAATCTCGCGAACTCATTGAACTCCGCAGACCGGAACTTCTGCGACACGCAGATTCTCGCTTCCAAAATCCTTCGTACCAACGTCCTTAAAAAGTTCCATCGACTTTTTTTTGCCTCATAAATCTCCCACGCCGCAGACTTTCTCGTAAATCGCGACGCACGCGAATCTGCCGGATTATTCTGATAAATGCAGTCCCGCAGTTACAAGGAACAAATAAAAAAGAAGGGGGGGGGGGAGAAGGAAATACATAAGAGGAAGTCTCGCAAAGCGCGCGTTAGTCGATGGGATTTAACGCTAGTTTAACGCAGCCGCATGTTAATCGTGTATTAAGCCAACCGACAGACGGACACACCGTTTCGAAAACTCGTATACTCGTGCCGTACCTATGCGTTTCCCGCGGGCATGTTCGACCCCGAGGATACTCCCCAGCGTCTTCAGAGGCGAGTCTCATCTAAAAGGAGAGTGCGTGATTTGCGTTTGCATGGGAACGTTAGGGTTTCATCGAGAAGGCAACGGGATAGCTTGATGATCTCGCGAAATATTCGTTCATCGTTTGGTCGATTATTATAAAAGTCGCATGAAAATGTGTTTAGTTAAGATGATTTAGTAAAATTTATTAATGGTATTATTTATGTAATAGTGTTTGTTACATATAAGTGTTCTCTTTTAAAGTATACACCGAGAAAAAAAGTTGCTCTTCCAAAAAAATATTAATTGATTCGACTAAATGGCCACGGGCTGTAAAATATTTATTAATTCAAAGAAATAACCTATTTTAAATTACAAGATTTTGTTAACCTAAATATATAAATACTTGAACTAAATAATCACTACGAATTGAACGCATTTAATCAAGTTAACAACTATAACTTTTTTTCTCAGTGTACGAAAAGAATCGTTTTACTGAATCTAAAAATCTAAAAATAATTTTGTTGTAACTATTAAAATAATTATGTAGAACGCTCAAGCTGATTGTTAGAATATCAAAATTTTTTGCAGCATGCTCATCACACTTGTTTCCTACATAATTATTTTGATGGTCCAAAAAATTATTTGCAGATCTGTATCTAATTAATCTATCTAAATTTTTAGATATTTCAACAATATCGTTCTTCCCGTGTAACTTCAATAGCTGGTTTTAGATTTTATCTTTATAAAGTTTTGACTGGTCAGTCGAAAAATAATAAGGTTTATTTCTTTATTTAGGATTCCTTTAGATAACCTTTTGCCAAGATTATCTTTTATCTATAGGAAAACAAAAGTATTATTTTATTATTTTTCAACCGATGAAAACTCAATAAGATAAAATCTAAAACAACCTTGCGGTAAATTCGATTTCTCTCATGCGTTGAGTTCATCTTTTTAAAATCAAATCGTTTCGTGAAAATTTTGACTGTTCCTTCTACACTGTTGCATTGTTACTCTCAGGATTTTTCGCCGAGATTTTTTCCGTAAAAAAACTGCGACGCGTAAAAGGAGACGCCCAGACAAAGCCGGCCAAAGTAAACATCGATTATCGGCACTTACCGTTGCTGAGCTCCTCGTAGACAGGATTATAAAGGTCCTGCGATGTGTAAGGATCAGGACCGGGGCTACTGCAGACGAACACCCCTCTTCCGCCATCCTTAACGTCCAGCATCTGCGTCGTGATAACAAAAGTGTAAGTTAGAGAAAAAGAGTACGGACGACGTGACGCGGAAAATAATGTTGTAATATTTCTAAACGTTGCACTTTTTGTGCCATTGAATAATATCTTATGACTGTTACTTACATTTTTCGTATAGTATATGTAAAGTATAACGGGTGACGCAAGTATTAGAAGCTTTGGCCATGAATAATTGAAAGGAAGTTACACTGTGATTAATTTCACCTTCAATACAATCTCAATTCTATCGCAATATAATAAATTGCACACCGTTTGAGAATTAAGACCGCCGCCATTTTCTTCGTCGCTCCGCGGGGTTGAAAGGTAATTAGTCCCGAGTTGTGACTAAAATAGGTCAACTTGTTACAAACGAGCCGAGGTTCGCGTTTCCACGGTTGTTTTACGAGACTCTTTAGGAACGGCGACTTGTTTACGACAACGTTGGAAAACAATTAGCGAGTAAAGGAAAGGGATGCAGAGGATGGGGTACAATGAGAGGGGGGGGGGGGGGGGGGG